CCTTACCAGTCACCTCCTCCTTTCCCAGTATAACCGGCACTTGGACAGCTCGAAACTGGAATGGCCGCTCCGGGCAGACACCTCTATTCCCTTGTGATCTGCCACTATCAGATCTTCGGTGGAAAGTCATTCAGGAGGCTTCGGGCTCATGACTCACACACAGAAGAATGAGGAGAGTTCTATGAGAGGAAGTGATCGGTCCATACACAAAATATTTACATACCAAGGTCTTGTTTTACCAAATATTATAACAAACATTTCCCATTGTAATACCCCTAGACGGGCCATAGGGGGCGATACAACACTTCTCACTGATACACATCAATCTCCGACATTGTTATAGTGTATGTATGGAGCGCTGACATATACCACAGTGCTGTACAGAGAACACTGAGCCAGTCACATCAGTCCCTGTACAGAGGAGCTTACACTCTAATGCCCCCCCCCCCCCACAGTCTTTATTATTATTATCATTATTATTATTATTATCATTATTATTATTATCATTTTTATTATTATCATTATTATTATTATTCTTCAGGATTTATACAGATTGCACTTTACAATACAAGGAAAATATTACAGACACAATACAAATCCTAACACGATGGTGAGGAGGGGCCTGCCCCAGAGAGCTTACAATCTAAAAATAACATATGCAGTAAGACATCCAGCGCATCATGGTGCGTGTTGACATTCAATGCTAATGGCATCGCAATGCGAGCTGATAACGGAAGACAACGCACGCTGACATGCTTTTCGATGAGTTTCCATTTATTTCAGTGAAAACACATTGGCGTGATTCCGGCCTCAGCGCGCCGCAGCAACCAGTCTGAGCAGCACATGTAACACCTGGGCTTGTCACACAGCAGGGCTTATGGGGAGTAGTAGATGGGCTCATTAGGGAGCAGCAGTGGGATTAATAAGGTGCAGTAAATGAGCTCATTAGGGAGAAACAATTGGGGTGCAGTAAATTGGCTCATTAGGGTGCAGTAATGGGCTCGTTAGGGTGCAGTAAATTGGCTCATTGGGGAGCAATAAATGGGCTCATTGGGGAGCAGCAATTGGCCCATTGGGGAGCAGAAAATGGACTCATTAGGGAGGAGCAGTGGGATTAATAAGGTGCAGTAAATGAGCTCATTAGGGTGCAGTAAATGAGCTCATTGGGGTGCAATAAATGGGCTCATTAGGGAGAAGCAATTGGGGTGCAGTAAATTGGCTCATTAGGGTGCAGTAATGGGCTCGTTAGGGTGCAGTAAATTGGCTCATTGTGGTGCAGTAAATGGGTCGTTAGGGTGCAATAAGTGGGCTCATTAGGGAGCAGCAATTGGCTCATTGGGGAGCAGAAAATGGACTCATTAGGGAGGAGCAATTGGCTTATTGGGGTGCAGTAAATTGGCTCATTAGGGTGCAGAAAATGGTCACATTGGGGTGCAGTAAATGGTCACATTGGGGTGCAGGTAAATAGTCACATTGGGGTGCGGTAAATGGTCACATTGGGGTGCGGTAAATGGTCACATTGGGGTGCGGTAATGGTCACATTGGGGTGCGGTAAATGGTCACATTGGGGTGCGGTAATGGTCACATTGGGGTGCGGTAAATAGTCACATTGGGGTGCGGTAAATAGTCACATTGGGGTGCGGTAAATGGTCACATTGGGGTGCAGTAATGGTCACATTGGGGTGCGGTAATGGTCACATTGGGGTGCGGTAAATGGTCACATTGGGGTGCGGTAATGGTCACATTGGGGTGCGGTAATGGTCACATTGGGGTGCGGTAAATGGTCACATTGGGGTGCGGTAATGGTCACATTGGGGTGCAGTAAATGGTCACATTGGGTGCAGTTATCAGCGCTGTGGCTGGTCTTGTATGGAGATTCTTTCTGGGTGTTGGGGATCATTTTTGGGAACTCCAGCTGTTATCATTCCATCTCCTGTGGGGAGAAGGGGCGGGGCCAGGTTGATTAGGGGTAGAGGTTGTTCACTTAGTAAATGAGGAGAAGCTGCGACCACTTCAATCCTCTGCAAGCACAAATCTTTTGTCTGACGTCTCCTCGCAGGTTTCTTTGCAGTGAGTTTGCTTCACCCCTTAAAGTCAGCATGCTCTCTGCTCCTCCAGCGAACCAACCCCAGAGCTTCGCATGTCTCAGTGCCATGTCCCCCTGTGTGCTGCCAGCCTCACATCCAGCTCCCCCTCCCACAGGTCCTGACTTCTGCAGCTACAGAGAGGTGGGCGTGGCCTAGCTTGGACATGGGTGTGGCTCAGGGCAGCTTTGAGCAGGAACATGCTGGGAACTATTTACTATGTAGAAATAGCAGAGAAACATTGTAAAACAAAGTGCAGCTTGTGTACACGTCGCATCAAAATAAAGAACTGCTACAAAGAAACAAGATGGATCTATGAGTGCAAAACAATGGGGGGGGGAGTGTGTCACATGGCCTGATTGTGTGCAGTGTGCATGGAGTGTGTATGAAGTCTGCATTGTGTTATGAAAACTTGCACCATGTGCATTGCATACTATGTGACTGAATGTAGCGTGCATTGTGTATAGTGTGTACATTGTGTGAGTGCAATCATGGTGTATAGTGTGTACATTGTGTGAGTGCATGCATTGTGTATGGTGTGTGCAGCGTGTAAATGCATGCATTGTGTATGGTCGGTGTATACATTGTGTGAGTGCATGCATTGTGTATGGTCGGTGTATACATTGTGTGAGTGCATGTATTGTGTATGGTGTATACATTGTGTATGATGTGTGCAGCGTGTATGGTGAGTGCATGGTATGAGTGCATGCATTGTGTATGTTGTATACATGGTCGGTGTATACATTGTGTGAGTGCATGCATTGTGTATGGTCGGTGTATACATTGTGTGAGTGCATGCATTGTGTATGGTCGGTGTATACATTGTGTGAGTGCATGGTGTATACATTGTGTTGGGTAGTGCAGGCAGATCACCTCCTCCCCCTGTATTGCGCGGTTCGGTCTCTGGAGGGCTGTACAGCCTCTCCCAGCAGCAGCTCCGACATTCACTCTGATATACACAGCGGAGAGAACCTCAGACACTGACTGCTGATCAACACCGACACCGATCTACACACTGATTGTATACCGGGGCCGGGGGGGCCACCGGAGCACTGCAACCCTCCCTGCAAACTTTACACCCCAACCATGCTGCCTGCACACCCGGATCTCCAGCTGTACTCCCCACTCTGAGGACACCCGGATCTCCAGCTGTACTCCCCACTCTGAGGACACCCGGATCTCCAGCTGTACTCCCCACTCTGAGGACACCCGGATCTCCAGCTGTACTCCCCACTCTGAGGACACCCGGATCTCCAGCTGTGACACCCGGATCTCCAGCTGTACACCCCACATTGAGGACACGCGGATCTCCAGCTGTACACCCCACATTGAGGACACCCGGATCTCCAGCTGTACACCCCACTCGGAGGACACCCGGATCTCCAGCTGTACTCCCCACTCTGAGGACACCCGGATCTCCAGCTGTACTCCCCACTCTGAGGACACCCGGATCTCCAGCTGTACTCCCCACTCTGAGGACACCCGGATCTCCAGCTGTACTCCCCACTCTGAGGACACCCGGATCTCCAGCTGT